TCTGAAAAATTTTGATTTTGGTATTCAAAAGATTTTCAACGAGTTTTTGAAAATGAATAAAATGTGTAAAAACTTCAGATTTCCTACGCATGGGATAAACCCAAGTAAATCTAGAGAAATCATCAATACATGACACATAATATTTATAACCAAGATTAGAAACAACTGGTGACTGCCAAACATCAGAATGAATAATTTCCAAAGGTGTAGAGGTATCATGAATAACATTAGTAAAAGGTAGTCTGTGGGATTTACCCAACTTACACGAAACGCAATCATGCGTAAAAATTGAAGAACTATTAATTAATTTATTTTGCCTAAGAGTACAAAGAACTCTATCACCACAATGTCCTAGACGCTTGTGCCACACTGGACCAGGTACAACTCGGGCTTGAAAAGCGGTAAAAGGATAGACATGGTCTTTATTGGTGGCCTGAAGAAGAAGTTCCCCCGTTTGATTGTCCTTAACAGAAAAAGAGTTTTTATCAAAAATCACTTGACAAGCATTATCCGCACACAATTTTTGAATAGACAGTAAATTGTATTTAATGTGTGGGACATGATAGACAGAATTAAGATGTAACGGGCGGCCAGAAGTGATTAATTTAATGTGACCAATATTAGAGATAGGTAATTTGGTACCATTAGCAACACATACTTGATTCGGGCCAGTATAAGTAGATTTAGAAGATAAAATACCTTCATGAGGAGTCATATGAGCGGAAGCCCCAGAATCAGGATACCAGACCGAATCATGCGTCTCACCAGTGGGAAGAGCCGCAAGAGCAGGAGTATTTGGACTGATGAAACGGGAACAAGTGATGGCAGAATGACCTGGAGAGAAGCAAAGCTGACAGACAACTGGAGGAGCAGGTGAAGGATAGGAGTGCTCAACAGATGGATAACCTGCACTAATATTATGAGTACCACAGGTGGAAAAATGATCAGTAAAACTAAAACCAGAACGAATATTACGAAATACCGAACCTGTGCCACCAGTAAATGGAGGACCACGAGAAGGACCCGGCTGTCCGGAGTGTGGTCCATAGGCCGGATAACCCCCAAAAAATTGTTGATATTGTTGTTGATGTCCACGACCGCCACGCCCGCGACCACCCCGAGGTCTGCCCCCTCGTTGACCGCGACCCCCTTGTCCACGTGGTGGTGCCCCACCATAGCCACGTGAAGCCTGGCCTCGGCCCTGAGGTGGGGGAACTGCCGCAAACGCCTGGTGGACGGTGGACTGCTCCTGGGAGTGAACAGTAGAGTTCCGTCGTTCCTGTGCTTGAAGAATCGGGCGTAGAGACTCCAGTGTGGCATTCCCAGGGAAATATGATATTGTGTTGATAAGAGATTCATAGTCACGACCCAAACCCACAATAGCATATTCCATCAAATCACGGTTACTAACAGGAGAATTAATCATGGCAAGGGCATCAACAATCAGCTTAATTTCCAACAAATATTGATCCATGGTCTGTGATTCTTTCTTTTTAATGTGTGACAGAGATTGTTTAAGTTCAACAGACCGCGCAAAACAGGCAGACATAAAACGCGATTCAAGGCGCTCCCAAATAAGATGAGAAAATTTCAAATCATATACCTCCATCAAAATATCCCGAGCAAGGGTAGCAAAAATCCAAGACCGAACCGTTTGGTCTATTTTCAACCAATACGGATAGTCCGGATCCGTGACCAGTGGGACCCTAATTGAACCATCCAATATCCCAAGAAGACTGTGGGATACCAAGAAGGACTCAAACTGGGTCCGCCACGGTAAATAATCCTCAACGGCCGATAAGCGGGTAGTAACAATATTAGTCACATTCGGCGTTGAGAAAGTCAATTGGGAGGCCAAAGCAGATAAAGAACTTGTGAATTCAGAAGTACCAGAAAAAGCTGGAAGACCTGGAACCTGCTGATGAAACGGCGTGGGGTTCTGTTGGGCTGTAAAAGTCGGTCCACCAAAAGACAGAGATGGAAGATTGACTGCAGGAGCCGACGACAGGATTGGTGGTGGCGGGAGGGTCGTCGTTGGCGCCCATGTAAAAGGAGGCGACATATTAAATAATCTGTAGGAGTCAAGAGAGGGAAACTCGGTCATGCGTTCCCGGAGATGAGCTGCTAGCGGAGATCGATCAGTCTGCGCAGCTTGAGTTGCCGATGGAGGGAGCGGGCTTGAAGGAACCACGCTGCTGGAACCACTCTCGAACGAAGGCAGCACTACCGAAGGCGCCTGGGATGAAGGCAGCACTGCAGGTTGCGCCTGAGAAGTCATGAAGCCTATGGATGAAGACGACACTGTTGAAGAGGACGATTGTGTGGAGACGGCCGTAGGATATGCGCCGGTCATGCCAGGAAGAGGGAAGAAAGACCTAGGCGACTGATACCATATACGAAAATATAATTTGAGGAATAAAGGCTTACCCTCTTGGGTGCCTTAGGCTTGTATTTATAATAAAACAGAGTTATGGAGAATTACAAAGTAATCCCTAAATATTACATTATTAGAGTAAAAAGTAAACTATATTGCATTTGACATTTCTAAGTACATAAACTCGATTTTTAGTGTTAATTGAGTACACTTGTTAGATTAACACGTTAACATGTATGAATTTGCTAACAAAATACCGAGTAAGAAGGGGTAGTCATAATCGACCAAGGGAAAGTCGACCAAAGTTCTGGCGTAGACCTTCAACCTTCAGCAGTTGACCTGCGGGGGGAGGGGGCGTTGACCTGCATGGTGCATCGATCAAGGGAAAGTCGACCTGCGGGGACTGTTGTCGTCGAAGGATAAGTCGGCCAAGAGGCTGGTGTCAATCTTCAGAAAGTCAACCTATTAGTATTCCATTAACCGGGGCGTCTTTAGCATTTCGGAGACCCTAGACAGAAAAAATACTTGCGACGAAAAAATAATATTGAAAAGAAATAATTTGAATAGAAAACACCATATGGAAAAAAACACAGTCGAAATGATGTAATGCATAATTTTTAACGATTGTATAACCAAATATCTCCTCAATTCATTCATTCTCTTTGTACACTTCGAGTCAAATTTATGTTTCCCCGTCATGTTAAAGACGCCCCTGATGACATCTACAAAGTAAAAATAATCACAAAGAAATCAATTACATAACTACTTTACTACTACCAATACCATCAAATTAATGATTTCATGGTATTTATCAATTAGGGAAAAGGTGCAAATAGGTCCATGTACTAACCAAAAAAGGTCAAATAAGCCCTTATTTAGGAGTCTCTGTCCGGCCGTCGCCATTTGAAGTGGTTCCCGGTGGAATTTTTTGATGAAATTTTTTGAGCATCTTATTCATTAAGTCTAGTTTACTCATACCAAATTTCAACTAAAACTTCAATCGGGAAGGCATTCAAATGAATTCTTGAAAATAACTGCGCAGTTATCTTCAAGAATTCATTTGAATGCCTTCCCGATTGAAGTTTTAGCTGAAATTTGGTATGAGTAAACTAGACTTAATGAATAAGATGCTTAAAAAATTTCATCAAAAAATTCCACCGGGAACTACCTCAAATGACGACATCCGGACAAAACTTCCTAAATAAGGGCTTATTTGACCTTTTTTGGTTAGTACAAGGGCCTATTTGCACCTTTTCCCTATCAATTATTATCTTATTCATCTTAAGTCTCTTATACACTAATACCCAATTCTCAAATAGCAGCAATCCTCCTTACAATGGCAACTAGGAGCTGTCCAGAAATAGTAAAAGTATTGCTTATCTACTTGTCTGCCATAGTTCCATACTGCCAATTATTCTTAGCCCATATACTACTAATAGAGCAATAGTCAATGTTTCCTAGCCTGTAGGCTTTAGCCAATCTGCCATATCTCGGTTCGTGCAACACCACTTTTTCACATTTACCAATGAACAACTTTGACTGTCATTATATTTAATTTTGTATTAATAATAAATAATTAAAAGTCAAATTATGAAACTTTATAATGAGATGAATTCAACAATCTTTTTCAAAAAAAATAAATCACATACATTAATAAATAAAATGTAATCAAAGTAGAGTACTGTAATTTCCAATGTTGCAATGTGATAAGTAGGATAGTAATATTCATAACTCATTAGTAAAACTTCAGACTTCATGTATTTGAAATCGAGTATTTCATTATTTAGGAGAGAAAGAGGCCGGACACTTCACAATTCACAGACGGACAGTCCAGTCTCAACGTCGGTCTCCAGTCGCCGGTGGATTTCTGAAAACGACGGCAGTAGGCACCGAGTCACGCAGCCGCGCAGGTACACTGTGTCCTGTTCAGTCGTTCGGCGGATTCTTGGAGTCCACTAATATTACTCTTTTAGGATTTACGGATAAAGACGTGATTTCAGAACTTTTACTCCCTCCGCCCCCTAACTTTGTCCCGTTTTACCTTTTTTTCCGATCCATTAAGTTTGTCGCATACCATATTTGGTAATATTTGGGTGGTTACAATTCGTTCTTACTTTATTCAAACTTTATCAATTCAATACCAACCACACAATTCCATTTTTTCTTAAAAGTTGTGTCACACCCCTTTGTCCCAAACATAGTGGGACGGAGGTAGTAGTTATTATAATTATAAATATGTTCAAAGTTACTACTCCCTCCGTCTTTAATAACTTTGTCAAGTTTGACCGACACGGAGATTAATAAAGAAAAAACTGTGTGGTTGAGGTTTGTGCGGAGGAAAGAGAATTAACTGAAACCATAAATTCTTTACATAAAAAAGAAAGTGACAAAGTTAATGGTACATCCCAAAAAGGAAAGTTGGCAAAATTATAATGACGGAGGGTCGGGGATGGAGTATGACGTAGTGATCATGATTATAAACTTTGAACATAGTTATAGTAATTATAAGTTAAAAAGTCATATTTTTGTCCATGACTCTGTACAAGTCACATTTTAGTAATATTGATTGATGTAACTTAATATAGATAGCATCAACTAGTGATCCTTATCTCAACAAAAATGTGTCGTCAGCGAATTGAACAAATACCAATGACGGCACCATAACTCAGAAAATGCTAGAGATCCGTTAGTTGTCAGGAGTCAGCAGTCAGGATATCATCAATCATTTCTGTAAACACCGTAAAACCTGCAAAGTCACCATCTCACTGGTCTCTCTTATCTTCTTTCTCTCATTTATTTACCCAATCCCAGACTTACGTTATTAGTTGTCTTAAACTTAAAGCCAATTCTGCGAGTTACGTTCTTCTTCTTCTTTTACATCGAATCGCAGGTTTGTAAGTTACAAGTAGTATTACAAATTTAGAGTGTTTTATTATACACTAAAACCATAATTTTTCTGTTTATATGGAATAATAGATCAGTATTAGATGCATATATGCGAGGGGTGTGCATTATAAGTTAGATTCCAGCTATATACGTATATTAATAAGAACTTCAATAGATAGATGCATATAAATGCATAATACACATATTAGAGGAACTTATTAACATAATAAGTTTAGTCTTTTGTCTTGTAACTAGCTTTAATCACTTACGATATGCTATGTAACTAATAAATTTGTAAACATATCGTTAGTAACTTTTCAATCGGATTTTATTGCTTCGTGTGGGAAAAAGTCGTTTGGTTGTCATAAACTCATAATTGGTAAATTTCCATCAGAAAGATCTATGGACATTTTTTTAGTTAAATGAAGTGATCGTCAAGTAATTGAACTTACAAAACTAATAATGGCTACAAACAAATTTCACTATATTACACATGCAATGTCGTATTAAATGTTTATTGTTTAGTAGGATGTCTGTAACAATTACAGAAGTTAGGCTATATATGAAAATATTATGTACAACTTTAATCTAGTAGCATGCTTCAAATACTATTACGGAGTATATAATATTGATATTTTCAAAACAAACTCCATTTTTTTAAAATTATGAGTAAAAGTTCTTTTGTATAAATTATTGATTATATTTTCAGAATATAATTCGCGCCTTGTATATTAGGAACAAGGAGAGTAAATGATATGCACATCGTTTCACGTGAAAGCCAAAGCAATTCTATTTAATTTCATGCCTAAGTCTTTCAAGAACATTGTGCTTTTCCATGTAGGTTTATTATGTTGGTTGGGCAGAGAGTATGAACCATATTTCATAATCTCCTAACTTTCCCTTTTTACAAACAAGATGATAAACATTATGAGATTTATTAGTTAATGGTTGATGGTTGATGAAAGTTATAGGATTCAGAAGAAGAACAGAAGAACATGCCATCAAGCCAAATTTCTCCCGACTCCCGAAACGACAATCCAAACAACACAACTGAGGCACCTGTGGCGGATGATGGTTCAATTTCTGCGTCCGGTAGTGACAACAGGAAAGTCTCACGCGAAGATATTGCACTAGTAAGATTGTTCAATTTTTATGATATCTCCATATTTTAGTTTGGATCCTGTAAAACTACTTGAAGCTTTAGTTATAACATTTTCTATGACAAAATTATTGTCTGTCTAGGTTCAGAACTTGATCGAGAGGTGTTTGCAGCTATATATGGATAAAGATGAAGTCATTAAAACGCTCTTAAACCGTGCTAGGATCGATCCTTCGTTTACAAGTCTAGGTGCTCAGAATATCATATATATTGGAGTTATAGTTTTGCTATTGTGTACTCTGGCCATCCCAAATTGATTGACATTTTAGAAACCTACACATAAGGAAAATTGCAAGACCCTTCTATCCATATTGAAGTTCTACATTAGTACATCTTATATATTTTAGTGCGCAAAAAACATTTAATGCGGGAAGAGTTGAAGCGGGCCATTAGGAAATTAGTACTCCGTGCAAAATATGCATTGAATTCCTAAAGCGATTATCATTTTGAGACAAAAGGAGTTGGCTAAAAGGACATTTATTTGGGACAGGGCTATTACTATATGATAGTTTTAATTTAAGTAGTTCTCTTAATATATTATTATTATTATTATTATATACAGTGTGGCGGAAATTGGAAGAAGAAAATGCTGACTTCTTTCAAGCATACTACATAAGATTGAAGCTGAAAAAGCAAATCATACTGTTCAATCAGTTGCTTGAGCAACAATATCATCTAATGAAATATCCTCCGATACTTACATCAGCTTCTCTGGAGAATTCAAATAATTGCTCCACAGGTAAGATATATTTCTTTGATCTTGATAGCTACATAAGGGTCGCCAATATTGATCATTGTCATAAGATCCCCAAATAGTTCCTACTATCAGATTTGAGTTTTATGATGGACATTGAGTCTTAATACTGCTGGAATCTGTTTATCTGTTAGAGATGCCAAAGTGACATAGAAGAACATGTTTTTTATATATTAGATTAAATTCCATTTAGTCTATAATCATTACTACCAGCTGGTGCTTCTTTATATTGCAGCCACCAATCTACCTATGGGGTATCCTATCATGCAGCAACCTCCAATTATTCCAGCAGCTTCTCATTCTTATGTTGATCCAATGATGATGTCTAGTTGCCATGTGGTTAATGGGATGCCTGCACTCAACAACTACCATCCTATGCATATGAATTCTGGGAACAAGTAAATCTTTTGGTTTCCTATTGATCTTTATGTTCTTAATCATTTCACATTTTAAAGTTATGCATGGTCTGATAAAACATATAAGAGCTATAAGTTTTGCTAAGTATGCCTCATGTTGGGATGCACAAAAGAGTTGCTTGATTACCGGTTAAGTTGGTTAGGCAGAAGAGAACCGTATGATCTCATTCAAGGCCTAGAATGATATGGCAGAGTAGTGGTAGAGCAGATCTATGCTTGCTAGAGAAAATGAAATCCGCTTAAGGTAAAATTAATTAGTGCCCAACTTAGAAAGACACTAGAATTAGTTATTCAATACTAGCTTGTTAATCAATACTGAACCACCTTATAGATCTATCACAAGAGTTCTCATTATAAAATAAACAAATAAATACCCCGAATATAACTAAAACATATGTAGTTGCTTTTTTTATGGAGACTAACAAGTTTTTATTGATATGATAATATCTATTTGATCCTTGATCGCGAGGACTAACATGTTTTTATTCTTAAAATAGTACGTAGTATGTATTTAGTCATACTTGGAGGAAAACCTATTACTCCGTATGTTTTAGTGAGCCTAGAATGTTTCTCAAAATAAGAAATGAAGAAAGGGTAAAAAACTGAATAAAACTGATACGTACAACTGTAGAATTGGTTAACAGCATTACGATATCATGCATATTCAAGTTTTATTTGGTATTATTACAGACCGACAAGACCATAGCATAAGATGGCTAATTACATTGTTGAAATAAAGGGTATAGTTGTCTGCAAGATTTCTTTTTTTATTGTATGTAGTATGGTGATAGAATCAGATGTGGCCGCAGCAGCCGTTCCACAGAGCAATGGTTATTCATCTATGATAGATACCCCAGCATCAGTGCCTTCAAGTGGTCACCATTTCCCCTTTACCGCCCTTGACACCACATTTATATCTGACATTGTGACCACAACTGGGTTGCAACTCCCCTCAGATTATTGTGCTGGAAGTTACAGAAATAACACCCTTCGGTCCTTGGATCACTATCCTTGGAATTTTAATCTTTCAGACTTATCAGAAGATTTACCCAACTTAGAAGGTAAGTCTACATGACAGTTTAGTTAAATTTGGATTTTTTCCTTTCCCGAAACATGACTACACTGTTTTTATTTTTGAAAAAGTTAATATAAACACTCCTTGAATGAACTCAAAGTCATGTAATAATAGAACTTTATACTCCGTATCACGGGTGATCTCAGAGCTATGAGCACTAATGATGTACTTACCAAGTCTGAGTTTAAGATGCCATGTGTTTACTCTCAAATGTTCAAAGTATTTAAATTGTGCATTTAGCACACGAAACTTATATTTGCGACATGTTCAACATCCCAAAAGTTTAAGGCATTTAAATTAATTTTTGCTTCATCTTTTTATCAATGTAAAAAAAGCTCTAGAACATTGTTGCTGTTTTGTTGTTGTTGTTTTAATGTAAGTGTGTGTTTGCCCTATATTTTTCGATTTCCTAACTTCTTTGTTACGGTGGTGCGTGGAAATTGTTACCCTGATAGCAGATATAGGAGGTCTTGGGAACCATCACCAGTCATCACCCTTTTTGCATTCTGATTCAGATATTCTACTCGATTCTCCCGAGCAAGAAGACTCAGGTGAGAAGGGCTCCACGCTTTCTAAATCAATAACATAACCAATGTACCCGAGGTTGATGTTTGTACATGGTTTTTGCCACGTTATCCACAATTGTACTTGTCCACTTTGCTAAAACTAAATATAGGAGAACATCATTAACTGAATTATTCTTGACCGGAAATACCAAATAATATTTAGAAATGCTAATTCGCACACAAATGCCACAAGCATCGAGTTTCCAGGTCTTCATGCCCTCCAATGTTGCCAAATGCCACGAAGCCTAAAAAACACTTTCAAAGTCATTTCGGTAGAAACTCTGGACTCAAATTTAAAACACAAACCATAGAGTTAAGTTTAGTGTTTTGACCTTTTTATTACAAATGCCAAAACAAGTAATATAATTTTCACAATTTTGCTGAAGTAACCTTAATAATCATAGGAAAAAATGACATATACATATGCTGTTTCTTGCAAGTATCGTTAAATTGGTGTATTCACTATTGCATGTTTTTTTTTCAGTAGAGGAATTCTTTGTTGATTTCTCCTCAGGGCCAACTTGTTCTCAAACTGATGAGAAGAATCCAAGCCATAGTTAGTGGTGATTGGTGAAGTTACTGTAATTTCATCGGATCGATTGGTGCTGAGTTGCAGAGAGCATGGGAATACAAATCAAAGCACCAGATGACTTGACTTACGACCGTTAAATCATGTCTTAGAATGCTTTCCTTAATATTTAGTCTTGTTTTGCTAGTTAGCTCAGGAATGTATGAAATCATAGTGTCTGTCTGTCTTCTATATGAGTATTGGCTATTCACAGGCTTGTTTTGCTAGTTATCTCAGGAGTATATTAAACCATAGTGCATGTTAGGGATGGACCCGGGCCGGGCCGGTTCCGGTTCCGGGCCGGGCCCGGGCGGGCTTTTTTTTCGGGTTACATGGGCCCGGAACCGGCCCGGGTTGATACCGGGTCCGGGCCTAACCGGGCCGGGCCGGGCCGGGCCCGGTTCAATGTTTTTTTTTTTTTTTTTTTTTTTTTGACTTTCTTGTTATCTCCCTACCCCCCCCCCCCTCACCCCCACGCCCCAAACCTCCCTAAAACACCCAGCCCTACCCTAGGAAAAGAAAAAAAATTGAAAAAACCAAAAAAAAAAAAAAAAATGAACCGGGCCCGGCCCGAACCGCCCGGGCCGGTTCAACAAAAACAGGGCCCGGAACCGGCCCGCCCGACCCGCCAAAACGGGCTAAAAGCCCGGAACCGGCCAACCGGGCCCGGTCCGGTCCGGGCCCGCACAGTAGCGGGCCGGTCCGGTTCCGGGCCGGTTCGGCCCGGCCCAGTCCATCCCTAGTGCATGTCTTCTATTTGAGTATTGGCTAGCGCCCTAGCGGTATTACTTGATATCAGCTAGAATTGCCAAGGGAAAGTTTTCCCACTTTCAGGACATTCGAATAACTCAAAAGAAAAAGATGTCTCCCAGTTTGAAAAATGAGTCTCTTCTTTAGTATTTTCGTATTTTCAGATGAAAACTATTGGCCACAACATTCATCACTAACAACTCATACACCATTGCCAGTACATTTCATGCAAACACCATTGACATCTGACCACTCTGGATCGATAGTTGGACTCACTTCCAACGTTCACAAGTCACAACTACGGATGGAACCAACCCCAATCCTCGGACTTGACAAGATCGAAACTGGCAGATCTTTTCATGCAACACCATTGCCATCTGACCACCCTGGTCATTGGTTGGGAAGTTGGGCTCACTTCCATCGTTTACAACTAAGGTGGACTAGGGGTGGACTCGGCCCGGTCACGATTTGACCTGGCTCGAACCGCCGGCCCGGCCAGGGACCGGTCCGGGTAGGCCCGACCAGATGGGGTTCCGGGCCGGGCTCGGGCCCCTCAAAAGGTGAACCAACCCGGTCGGGACGGGCCCGGTCTGGGCCAATTTATTTATTTTTTCTTTTTTTTTTTGATTTTTTTTTAAGTTTTTGGGTTGGGCTAGGTATTTTGGACCATTTGAGATGGTTTGGGGGTGAGGGGGGAGGGTTGGGGGTTAATTAGGAAAAGCCCAAAAAAAAAATTAAATTGAACCGAGGCCCGGCCCGACCCAAACCCGGGGGTTACCCGGGCCGGTTCTGGGCCTCCCTTTTCATGAACCGAGGCCCGGCCGGGCCCAGGCCCGAACTGGCCCGAGTCCACCCCTAAGGTGGACTGGCCTATTCTTTGACTTGACCCAATCGAGATGACTAGTTTCCGCCTGAGATGGATCTGGTTTTCCAGATCAGTACCGGGCTGAATCTGGTCCAATTTCTCCGAAATAGGACCACACTGGTTCTGAACATGCATATGTGGTCTGATTTCTCCAAAATAGGACCACACTGGTTCTGGACATGCATATTTGAATGCGCCAAAAGTGGCCCAGGATCAACCTGATCGAAACCAACCAGAAACCAGGCCGGTTATACCTGTTTCTGGTTCTAATCCCTCCCCGCTGCATGAAAACCGAGTCCACCACTGCTAACAAGTGACAACCATCGGCACAACCAACTAGGAAAAGATTCTAATATTAGAATTTTATCACCAATCACATTATTTAGAGTCTCAGTAGGAAGAATAAATAAATGCCCTAAATGCTTCATGACATTAGGCCCAGTGAAAGTAACTCTAATATCATGAGTGACTCCAACATTATAGACTAAGCCAAAATTTCACCCAATCAGCAGAGGTGTGTTCAACAATCATCAACACCCCCTTCACCACTATTGTAGCATACCCAACCAATCGATTTGAGACCTACAATGATAGGATGTCAAAAAGCTAACAGTTTTTCAAATAAATTACCACAACAACATTACCCCCAATGTTGCAAAGGCTTCGGTAAGGGGGTCAAATGTACGCAACGTCGCAGCCTTGCCAAACTGCATAAATTATCAACTTAGCAATGATATGAAAACTTGTAGGCTTGTAGCCAATTAGGGTATCTAAGAAAATTGAAGATATTGGCACCTAATATGACAGAAACGTAGATGCTGCTGGCTACAGACTTCAAGCAATCCAAGTTAGATAATTAAGCTAACACAAAAGAGGGTTCCTAGGAATTTTCTTATTCTTAGTATCATGCATGTGCATATTATTTAACTACACAGTTTAGCTAAAATAATACACAGATTCATTGAGTGGTGGTGTTCTTTTGCTTATTTCCCTTTTGGTTTACTAATAGTCGACCACAGATGATCACAAATCGAATAAAAAAAAAAGAGAGAAAATATCAAATAAATATATGATCACAAATAGTCAAATGTAATATGTTACACACAGATGGATGATGTTGAGATTGGATACAATGTGATGTTTTAGAGACAACCCCCCACCACGTGAGACCGAACTAGCAGAAGAAGAGCTAGTTGGCTCTTGTCCTTGCTCTTCTTTGAGCATGATGTGGAGTTGGTGTGCCCTCTTGATGAAAGGGCTGAGTGGACGAATCAGCTAAAGTGGGTAACCTGGTAACACTTCCTTTCCCTCCTTTCCTTGCATTTGGTCCTATCTCCTCAATCATGTACTTCCACCCATCAATTGGTCTCCTTCTACTGAATATGTGTGTCTTTATAAAGCTCCCTATCTGTAATGTGACAATAAATGAAAATAAAGTTGACTAACATTCTGTATCTAAAAAATGTCTATCAGCAAAATCAGACAAGCAAGCCTCAACAAACCTGGAACTTGTTGAATGCAATTCGACGCTCAAACTCTTGAAGCAAAAGATCTTCTTCTCTCTGTGACATCTCCCAGATGTTCCCATCTACACTCTTTGCTGTTGTTTCCCATCCATCCGGCTTGTTTTTTATATCACAACCTGACACTTGTAAATAGTTCTTCAAGTCATCATTTGCAGAGTCAAAAATCCTGCACTTGTTTCAACAACCAATTTCACATTCCAATCCGCAGAATAAGTGTAGAAGAAATCAGCATTGCAAAAAAATGATATACGTACTCGGAGGCGCTATCCAGCAACTTTTCGATATCATCAGCATTGCCGCCAACTCCAAGCTTCGCTTCCTCCATCTTCTCAATCTCCTTCACCCACAATCCCGCATGTATTCTCTGTTTCTTAACCCTATAATCCTTCCTCATATTCTCTAAACTATAAATGGACCTCTCATTTTCATTTTTCTTGGCAATATCATCAGCGTTTGAGCTTTTTTTGGGACTTTTCCCCTTTCTCTGGTCCCAATTGTCGTTCATCTCCTCCACAAATGCCCTGGTTTCGCCGTCAACTTCCGACGAAAGAGGAGTATGAGAAGAGTTCGAGGTGTCATCGGCAAGCGAGAAGTTAACGTCAGTCTCCCAAGGAGCTCGGTTCTTCCCCGATAGATCCTCCGGCAGCCATGCGGTCTCCCACGCGACGTTCCACTCGTCATCACCGGTTTTGACGGAGAGACGGCGGAGTGCCGCACGAGTGGAGGCAGTTGGGTTTAGAAGAGGTTTTCTAAGAATGACGAAATAAAGTCTTTGAATTGGGTTCATTGCTTTGAAGAATACTCAGCCGGCCGTCAGGGACGTCTTTAGCCTTTTAGGAGGTCCTAGACAGAAAAATACTTACCAGAAAAATACTTACCATGCAAACATCATGTTCAAAAGAAATAATTCAATAAAAAAACAACATATAGAAAAAAACATATTTAATGTGTACGATGTAATATTTTTAATATTCAAAGGATAATTTTTTAAATGCAATACTGCAAACATATACTAGTACAAAATACCCGGATACTTGTAAGTTGTAACACCCTAATGACCTATTCTTCTCGCTTTATAAAGTGCAAAATGATCAGTAATAACATCACTAGAATCAAGACTAGCCAACACTTTTTTTGAATTGATAAATATGCCTCTGATGAGTGACGACAATATTCATAGATGATCGATAATAACAAAGTAACAAAAATCACAAGCAAATCAAGTATTATTACCTAACTGACATAGTGACATACTGTCTAGTTTTTTGTTTTTGAAAGGATGACATATTGTCTAGTTAAAAAATAATATTCGGCTAGCTGATGAAGATATTGACGGTTAAAACTAGTACAAGACTAAAGGTATATTCATTCATTTATTAAAAATTTAAAATCAATTGACCTTAACAACTATGCCTTTATTGCTTGTCTAATTGAATACTTGAGTTGTGTGCCGTATATAGTAATTTAATATAGAGTCCTGCTTGGGTACCTCAATTTGTACCCCAATCTATACACCGTCTGTGTACACAGGCAATTCAGGGGTGGGTACAAAATGGGGTACATTTTGGGGTACCTCTAGAATTTTTGTTTAATTTATTCTTATCGAGTAAGCCAGTTAACCTTTACTCCTTCAGGCTTTAGGCGGTTGGGCACTTGGCCTTTGGCTCTTTGCCTCTTTTACTCTTTACAGCCTTAAAAGCTTTTGACTTTACCCAATTAGGTCAATTTATCAATCAATTACTCATTTAGGAGTGAAATTAGAGATTTAGAAAAATCAGAGATACAGAGCGAAAGAGTCTTACAGAGGTCGGAGACTCGGAGTCACTGTCGGCAGGCGGCACTCAGCGGCGGCCGGTCTTCGGCACTCCGAGTCTTTAGCAATCGGCACGGCGGATGGTCGCTACTCGCTCAATAGCTTGGAGAGTTAAAAATCTGCAGTTCGGAGCAGGTAAGGCGTAAGGCAAGTTTTGATTAATTATTATTCTTATAAATTACTACGTACTATACTACTAATACTAATAATTTTTATTTTATTTTTGGGGCCCCTTTGGCATGTGAGGCCCAAGGCAGTTGCCTAGCCCAACTGCCCATACATCCGCCACTGTCCGCCGTCCAGATTACGATTGAGAATGTGAAGCTTGACAGCGGCGATACGACTGTGAGCCAAACCGGAACGGGAAGCCCATGTGGAAGGCCTGGGCCGAATTGGAACGTAATTTTGTAGGGATATTCTATTCACAATCACTTTTTTTCCAAACACAGCCACTAAATTAAATAAGAATTATTAAAAATAAATCAAATATCTATATTACCCTTACTGATACAGTGATACCTAACGATCGTAAAGTGATCGACTAATTCTTGTTTCTCGAAGGCTTAGCGCAAAGCTGGAAAACAAAAACGCAGCCTGGGAAGCTTCAGCACAAACCAGAAACACAAGAGCGGAAACCTTCAGCGCAAATCAGTAGCTGAGCACAAACCTAAAACGCAGCGCGCAAACCTGGGAACCTTCAGCAACAGCCTCCCACAGCCTCCAACTTAATCCTGCATCTCACAAATTAGATAGAAAGACCATTTTAATGAGTTTACTTAATAGAAACAGAAAAAAAACACAATATCAACCACTAGTGAATGTAAAGCATGTATAATGAACTTATGGATTTCTGAAAATCACAGAAATGGAAATAGAGATTGTGAAAGTATTAGCTAATAGCAAAGACTAATTTAATGCATAGTTTTTTGAACAAGTGATGCCGGTGTCTTACAATCAATGAAACAGAAGATGCAATCAGCGCAAAGCAGAGGGGTTTAGAAATAATTTAAAAGTAAATTGCATCTTTAAATGGCTAAATGGCATAAAATGGCTTACATTCTAATCAGTAGACTTTATGATAAATAAAATTCATTTACTTACAGAAGCAGTTTGTCTTTTCTTAGTTATTTTTAACAGAGTATTGTTTTTAGATCAACTTGTTTACATTAAGCTCTCTATGTTTTCACCCAAAAGAGAGTAAATTTGACTTCCTTTGTTTTCATGACGTATTTATTTTGATTTATTTTAATCAAAAACCATACTGATTTATTTTAATCACAAACCATACAATTCTGAGATAAAATTATTTATGTTCAAATGCCTATTACTTTGTAGTCATTAACTTTTTAAGCAGATTTTTAAATAAGGGATAGTTTGGATGGAGAAACTTATTTCATAAGCTTGAACTAGTTCAATAAGTCTTTCAAGTATGGGGCCAAACAAGAAAACGATTGATGTATGCCTTTATATTTGTTCGTTGTGAAATGATTTAAGAGAAGCCTAAACCTCACTCATCCAATTGTTTAATTTGTGTGTACTGTAGTTGTATCCAGAAGAACAATGTCACTGTATTTTCTCATTTCTTGTATATATTTTCTTCCCCCAATTAAAACTATGTTCAAAATGTAGCGAAAGTAACATAATCCAAAGAACTAATGTTTAACAAATCTATGATCATGGCCTTTACCAGCATGGGAAATGTCTATGCACAGAAATGTTTTTCTTGACAAAAAAACGAGTACAAAATAAGTACACGATAAGCCATACAGGACTAGCACATTTTCCCATTTGGGATTAGTGTAATCATATATGCGGTATACATTCCTAAGAGTGTCATCAGGTATGCAAAAGCCGTGACAAACAACACTGGCACATCCTTATTGGGGTAAAACTGTAAAAGTCATGGCCTAGCTAGCACAGATAAATCCTAACATGGGCACTAGGCTCAAGTTTTTCCTAAACCTATGTATGTAATAAATCAGTTTGTACAGTTTAAACAAATATATATGTACATCCTCGTACCCAGGATAAGCCTGATATAATTTCATTACCAGATGCTAGGTGCCTAGTTCGCATTCTATCACTGCTGAAGCATAACCTTTGAAACAAAACTTTTCATAAGTTTATCTTTATAAATACTTTTACTACGTTTACCTAGCATAAGCACCATCCAAAAAAATTGCCTTAATACCTTAATAATTATTGGGATAACATTTTACATATGCATATTGACCCAGTTTTTACTAAGAAACATACGTTCACTAAGTTCATCACGTTCTAAGCTCACTCTATCCGAACTTTATAAGTAGAGTATGGATTTCCAAACTTGCTCGGCGAAAATAAGTATGAAATGCCAAATACGACACAGGATACATCGACACAGGTCCTTGCAAATCACTCTGAGTTCTATAATAACCGGCAGAAATCATCATGACCACCTGAAAGGACAGTACTCATGATTAATATCACGATTAGCAAAATTCCCTGTTTTGTGAACGAAGAGTTCGTAAAAACTACTTCATAAAACGGGTACTATGAACAAAGAATCAAATTAAACACTCAAAAATGGAAAGTAATATGTAACTAAAACATACAGAGTAACATTTTTCTTGGAGTATGGTCATATGTTGATTTTCTTTAATGTGGACTAAATATTGAATATTCACTCCTAACTTAATTAATTACTTAATATAATTAATTGTCCCTAGTTCCATTGCATAACTGAAGTCATTTTGTTGGTGAGGAATCTGTGCGATGACGGCGGGAAACTCCTATGACGAAGGCGGACAGGCAGATCAGATGTAGGTGATAATTCCAACGACTAGCAGTGACGACCCACATTTAAGAGTCTATATACTTTATGAAAGTCAATAAACTTATCCATTGATTTAAAAATCAATATAATTCATTCATAAAAAAATTTATAAATTTAAAAGTCCATTGACTATTTTAAAAGTCTATGGATTAACATAATCCATATTCATAAACAAATTTATAAAAAAATTTGAGTGACACTATAGCTCGAGTAGCTCGAGTAACACACTCTAGCTCGTCTTCATCCAGGTATCTCGGAATCTTGTATGGCCAATTAGGGAATGTTTGGATCTGATTCTGCTCCTTCAGGGAGCAGAAACAGAAGCTGGAGTGTTTGGGTGAAATTTCAGAAGCACTTCTGGAGCACTAATTTAATAGAATCAGTTTTTTAATTAGTTCCAAACACCCACTAAACGAAGAAAACCGAAGTCATTCTCAAATCGCCCAACCATGAGAAACAGGGCAGCCACTGGCCTGGACACCGCGATAGTCGATGTGTGGAAACGAGAGGTCGGCCAACTCTCTCCCAGAAACTTCGCCCTCCGTCTCGCCGCCCCCGAGGTTTTCCCTTTCTCGTTTCCGGTTTTGTTTTCTTGCATTCATTCGATAGGTACATTCTAATTCTTAAACTTAGCTTTTTGTGTTTTTCCCTTACTATTCCTCCGTGGTACTCAACATGGCCATTTATATTTTAAGATGATTATTGATGATATTTCCTCCTTGTATTTAAATTACTATCAATAATTGAAGTTTAGATATTTAGAAAGTAGACTAAAAGTTCTTTGAGGCCTCAAAAACTGAATTCAAATTTGATAAAAACTTGATACTTTAAATAAGAGAATAAAAGTAAACTCATTTGATTACATGAATAGTAAAATGACAAAGTTGAGTAGGACAGAGTCAAGGAGGGAGTATGAATTCCACTTGAACGCGGTTTTCTGGCATCAGTAAATTATTCATATGTGTGCATTTAAGTTGGGGAAGCAAAGGCAATGAAGCCCAGCTGTGTACTTTGAATACTTTTCAAAATGGTGGTTTGTGGAATTGTGGGAATGGAGATTTATCAAAATGTGCACATACATGTTGTATAATGGTTGGAGTCATAACATAGTAGTCTCAAACATGAGGAGGACTCAAAGTGCTCAACAATGAGTTAGATAGTTGAGAGGCTATGAGCACAAACCCTAGAGAAACTACATAAGGGTGTTGTATTTTCTTAAGGTCAGTTTGGATATATAAAACACAAGTGAAGAAAAGGAAGGAAAACATAGAGGATGATTGGAATGAAAATGTGTAGGAAAATATAAGTTACGTAACAACTCAATATTTTAGATCTTTTTTGCCCATCATATAAAGTCCAGCTGTATAAATATGTGTGAATTTTCAAAATAGCTCCTCGTGTTATTCTCCTTTGTATTTCTCAAATCTCAAGGTAACACCGAACATAGGAGAATAACTTTTCTTAGTACTTTTCCCCCTTTCCCTAGCTTATTTAATGATCAAAATGTAATTTAAGGTTTTAGCTGTGAAAAACTTCTGCAGTGAGCCAATGCCTTGGCTTCTTTTGTGGCTGCGGTTTTATTTTAATTGGCATCTCACCAACAGACGAATGATTGATTTGCAATGGTGATTCTTCTTTCTTTCTTTCTTTCTCTGTATTGGTGGGCAGGACCTTGTGGAGCGCTTTGAGATATTTCGGAAGCTAGAAAAGCACAGAGGTTGTGTCAATACAATCAGCTTCAATCATGATGGTAACGTCCTTGTATCAGGCTCTGATGATACCAGGATTATACTTTGGGACTGGCAAACTGGGAATGTTAAACTCTCATTTCAGTCCGGACATCATAATAATGTCTTTCAGGCCAAGTTCATGCCATACACTGATGATCAATGTATCGTTACCTCTGCTGCTGATGGACGGGTATCTACCAAGGGTCGCGATACTTGCTTGTATTTTCCCATGTTTTACATGTTACTTAACCTCATTTGGTTGCAATGTTGAATGTGAGTGTCTTTGTGGATGTGCTATATATACTCCACTATTATTTTTCACATTTTATTTTTCTTAGAGTCCATTTGAATCCCATAAAATGCCAAGGGAAGTAAGTTAGAAGGAGAGTTATTCTTTGGAAGGTTTTTTTGGATGGGTGGGTGAAAAACATGTACAAACACTGGTAAGATCTTAAAAAAATAATCAAAATTTGATTTTCCTTGGTATTTTCCAATGTAAAACTATACACAGAAGACC